GTGATTTATTATTATTATTATTATTAGGGCTTCATGTTAATGTTAATTTAATGTTTATGCTAAAAAAAAAGTGCATATAGCTGCTAATTGTATTTGTTGTTTGTTGATTTTCAAATATAAAACTTATTGAAATGTTTTCAGTGTGTGTATCAGTTCTTTTTGAACATTTTCATCTAATTTTAACAAAACCGTGATAGTATTGATAATCGTGATAACTTTGGCCACTATAATCGTGATATGAAATGTTCATACCGTTACATCCCTAATACATACATACATACATACATATACATATATGTATGTGTGTGTGTGTGTGTGTGTGTGTGTGTGTGCGTGTGCGTGTGTGCGTAAAGTGTTTATTTATTTATTTATTTATTTATTCTCTCCCAAAAAGCCCTGGGAGTCATTCCTTTTAAAATGTTTTAGTGAATCATATCAATTCATTTATCAGCATTCACAAATGTTCATGGAAGACCCTGTGTTGCATGTATGGAAATGCATAAAAGAAAATGTGTTGTTAGCCAGTCAGTGAATTTACATGACAACCCTGTAAAAAAAAAGAAAAAAGATTTTGGTCATTGTCGTTCTGTTTTCTGCCGAATTTTTTGGAAAAATCAGTTCATGTGGAAAACACGCCTCGAGCCATCAACATGACTTATGACAATATTTGATGTATTTTTGTTGCATCACCCTCACTTTCCCAGTTGTTGGTAATAAACTGAAGTATGCAGCTGTTCTTGTGTGTGTTTCAGTGTGGAGCTCTACTGTGCCGCTCTCTCCCTAACATCTCAGCTGGTGCTGCACCTGGCCGAGTCAACGCCACAGGTAAGGAAGAAGAAAAGAAACAAGAGACAGAGGAAGGGAAAGAGTGAAGCATTGTGTTGGAAGTTTCCAGACAGACTTAAGCAAGTTAAACTGGACACTCTATCACTCTCTATCTAGACTGGAGCAGATTACAGATACTTAACCTTATAACGGCTTAACATTCCGCCTCATCTCACTACAAATATGAAAATCCCTGGGAAAAAAGAAAGAGCATATGTGCTTTAGCTTAACCACAGGCTCCGGAAAGATTAACCTGTTTGATTTCACGCAAGTTTTTAAGAGCTGTTAACGTTGTTTGTAGTTCACTGAAATGTTTGTGAATGGTCGTTAGGCGATTAGCCGCTAGGTGTGATGAGGAGGAGGGGGACTGAGCTTTATGGCTTCAGAGATTGTTTTTCTTAGTTGACAATGTGATTTCAATGACTACAGTTCAAAAGTGTGTGGTCTTTTTTTTTTGTTTTTTTTATAAAGAAACATACTTATTCTGCAAAGATTCTTTAATTTCAGGTGTCAGTATAGATTTTTACATTGTTACAAAAAAATCTTATTTTATTTTAATGTTAAATAAACGCTGTTCTTAAACACTTCGTATTTCTAAAAGAATCCTGAAAAGAAAAAAAATCGCATTTTCTACAAAAATATTAACCAGCACAACTCTTTTCAACATTGATGATAAGAAATGTTTCTTGAGCATGAAATCAGCATATTAAAATTATTTTTGATGTGACACTGAAGACTGGCGTAATGATGCTGAAAATTCAGCTTCACATCACAGGAGTAAATTACATTTTATTAAAAAAAAAATAGAAATGGTTATTTTAAATTGTAATAATATTTCACAATATTAATGCATGTTTTAGTGTATTTTTGCTTTTGAACAGTAGTGTATTGTCAAAGCATGATCACAATCACATATCACAATCATATATTTTTAGTTTTATTATAAAGTTATTTTTGCTGGAATTTCAATAAAATATGGTTTATGTTTTAAATTTGGTAACATTTGGATAATACTGTGAGCTAACTGATTTAATTCAAAGAGAAAGTGTCTTTCATTTCAATTTTCTACTACTAATTTGGAACTGGATGGATGCAAACCAATACTTTGCATTTACATGAACAACAAATTAATTGATTCATAAGCAAGTGAATGACAAGTTTGGCATCAATGCAAAAAAAGAAGAAAAAAAAAAGACTGAAAACAGTAAAACTAATATTAAAAAATGGATTGCACCAGTTATGATTAGATTAATTTGTCACTTTCTGAATCACAAGCTGTTGTACAATAACAATAATAACATACAGTGAAGTATCTAGTCATAATATAATATGTAATACAATACAAACATACAGCACTATGTTGTATATATCAACTTTCCAAGGCATTACTATCTTATGCATCACTGTACCATGGTATATCACCACAGGACTTTTTTTCCCTTGAGAGACTGATGTTCTTTCAGTAATGTGTTTGTCTTACAGCAGGATGTCAGTGAGGCTGCAGTGGTCTGTCTGAGCAGATGGGGGGCGCTGGTCATGCAGGGCTGCGCTGAGGATCAACCTGCAGAAGTCAAACTCGTGTCAGCAGAGGTGCTGGTGAAGGCCGTCCCCACCTTACTGACGGCTCCAGCCCTGCCTCTGGGTGAGTGGACGTCTGTGGACAAGAACACGTATGCAGGAATCTGAACTAAAGCTTACACTGTGTGTGTGTGTGTGTGTTTTCCAGGTATCACACACACTGTGGCACTATGGAAGAGCCTGTTTACATTATTGCAGGATGAAGATCAGGACGTCAGAGATGGAGCAGCTGACTTCACCTGCTACATACCAGCCCATTTACACAACACAGGTATACACACACACACACACACACACACACACACACTAAAAGAACACTCTGGGTTCAGTGCAAGTGAAGCTCTGTTGAAAGCCTTTGTGCCGTAACGTTGAATACCACAGACTAGGGATTCCCTTTTTTTTTTCCATCAGCCAAACCGTTTTGACCGGAAATATTCACTTGAAGTAAATAATAGTACATTTTAAGTTATTTCATTAATTTCACAAAACAATTGCTTGTTTACAGTTGTCTGATGTTGGTTAATGGTCACATGACATGCAGGTAAACAAATAAAATATTAATTTTATAATATAAACTCTTTCTAGTATTTTAAGTATTTGTTTTTGGTGGTTTTTGTTTCAAATTTATTTTATTTATTTATTTGCAAACAAACAAACATATTATGTGTGTTAGGCTGAAACTAGTGTGCTACAATGGTGTGTGCAAAGTAATATTCAATATTTCATATCATGATTTGTATCTGATTTAATTAATTATTAGCTCATCATTATTAGCTTTTCATCAACTCATGAACCCCAGTTTAGGAAATCCTACTACAGATACTTGTTAAAAATAAATAAATAATGTATGTATATATATATATATATATATAGTTACAGTAGTACAAAACAAGTACACAGGCAATAAACATTCAAATATACACAGTTTATGAAATATAGCCACAAAACGTAAACTTTGTAATTGTTAGCATAAAACTAGCATGGTAAAGTCACTTGCTGCCCTTGTCTGTGCAAATAAATAATTTAATAATTCAATAAATAATCAATATTTAATTTAATAAATAATCAATATTTCAGTTTCATGGCCATGTAAAACCAAAAATACTACAAAGGGATCGTTTACATGAGCGCAAGCTCACTCATTTACAGGACTGACGTCTGTAACACATACCAAAAGTTCCTCAAAGTAGTTTCACCACTTAAAGAATGATTTAGTTTAACAGCTCAAACAAAACAGATTTTGCAACTTCGAATCAATATGAGTATTTCAAAGAAAATGCAAGCTGCATATTTTTAAACACTTCCATTGTGAATGCATTACTGTACTGATTTTTCTAAGGAAAAAGTTGTAGGTGTAATTTCTGTGCTTGTATTGAACCCAGAACATTGATTTAAATCAATGGAGACATGGCCTACACAAGACATACACAGAACAACACTCACTCAGGAGATCAGATGAGGGAGGTGTTTTAAAGAGTGTTTCTGAGGGATGGGGGGAGGTCAGGTCAGTGCTGTTTACGAGCTCGTCTGACTGAGCGACAGAGGAGAGGTGTGGAGGAGAGGCGGTGAACGGCAGCCCTGCGCCTTTGAAATGGAGGTGTGTGGGTCAGCGATGCAGAGAGGAGCAGCACCTCTGTCCCATAAATCAGTCACATCAAAACAACATCATTACCACATTCTCTGACACGCTGATATCCTGCTTCACATGGGCAAGAAAAACAAGAGCAGGGTGGGGGAAGAGTCTGAGAAAGCCTTGTCCCACAATTCTTTGTGCTTTCTCTTGTCGCCAACCCACAATAAGTTACTGGTTTTGGGTAGCTGACATGAAGTTTCAAGCAGTGACAGCTGCTGCAGTTGATCTAAATGAGATGTAAAATTGTTATGCATGCAGTTTTTCTGATCTCATATGCATGGCTGGCTGGAATACTTGACTCTGATTGGTCAATCACTGCATTCTGAAAATGTTTTTGTATAATGATCGTTGAACTGTATAATTATTACATTATAATAATTATTGTAGCAATTATTGTCTCAACTTTCATCAGCCAGTCATTATCACAAAATATTGGATTTATTTTGTGTTTAGTGAATGGCTAGCTGCAAATGATCCCAAACGACAATGGCATATTTGTACTTTAAAAATTAATTTTTCACTCCGCACAAGTGTATAACTTTATATTTTAGCATTTTGTGTATAATTTTATATATTATATTTAGGCCGGTTGATTTAACAATAATTTGGTGCAATTAATTTAGGAAAAAAATAATGTTTTACATTTATTAATGTATTATATTATATTATGTTATAATTTATTACATTATAAAACACTACTGTTCAAAGGTTTGGGGTCAGTAAGGTTTTTTATTTTATTTTTTAGGGCACTTTAAATTGATCAAAAGTGACAGTATAAACTTTTACATTGTTGCAGAAGTTCAATTCAAAAAAAGAAGAAAATGAAAAAAAAAAAAAAAAAAGCATCACAGTTTCCACAAAAATAATAAGCAGAACAACTCTTTTCAATATTGATAATCATAGGAAATGTTGGCAGGCAAATATATGCAAATCAGCAAATTAGAATGATTTCTGTCATGTGATGCTGAAAATTCAGCTTTGCATCATAGGAATAAATTACATTTTAAAATATTTTTAAATAGAAAAAAAGTTATTTTAAATTGTAATATATCACAATATTATGGTTTTTACAGTATTTTGATCAAATAAACGCAGCCTCGGTGAACATGAGAGACTATTTTCAAAAACATTTAATTAAAATCTTTCCAGCCCCAAACTTTTGAACTGTAATGCATATGTAAAGTTTATCCTAAAATGTTGATGGTGAAAAAATAGTTTACTGGTATGTTATTTTTCAACAGACTTCTAGTTTTAGAAAGAAACTTGACTCTGAGAAAGATGAAGCAGTTCAGATACATATGAAGTAACTAACATGATCTCCCATGCACTGTAATCACATTTCTGGCTTTGTACTTGGCCCTATTTCTTTTCGCCGTCACAGTGAAGTCTTTGTGCAGTACACGAAACCGAATTCAATTAGACACTTTTATTCCTCTGCTATCTCAATACAAATTAGGTTGGAAATCAGAACCCCTGGCGTCACTTGACAAGGCTTTTAGGAGGGTGAGAGGTACATCTGATAACAGCATTAAGACGGAATAGGACCATATTCTCACGGGGGGAACTCGGGAGTGTTCAAGCATTTCAAATGTAATTACTGTCCCCGAAATGCTCAGTGCTTTTCACTTGTGTTTGCCAGGTTATTTTTGGGACTGGTTTGCCTCGGTTACAGAGACATAGCCTTGAACAAGTGTAAATATTTGGTGAGGAGTAGTTGCTAAGGTGTTGCTTACTGGCCCAAGTAAAAAAAACAGCATTACTAAGGGACTTTTTTTGCCTGTTTTTCCTCTGCCAGGCAAAAATCACATTCTGATCCCTTAGAAATAACCTCTAGTCAACAAAACGCGTGATTTGAGGCATTACTCATGTCAGGAGTTCAAACGGTGTGGGACGCATAGTTTATTGCTTAGGGTTAAAGGTTTGTTCGAATCCCTAAACCAAGAACCATTAATTATGTTGCCTTGGTGTATTATTGTTGTCGTCATAATGTGAATCACCATAATAATGCTCCTTCTTGTTCCACTACCGAATCGTGTTTTTACTTGCCATATTTAAATATAAAGCATTATTACTGTTATTACATGTAAATTGCGAAGCTTTTCCCCCCCATGTTATATCCAAGTACAACATCAACTCTTTCAACTCTTTTGAAAAACCTTAAACATATGTTGCTCGCATTACTCTGGTTGGTATTGTTCTTGGCGCATCTGGTTTCGTTTTGAGGACGTTCTCACCAGTCAGCTAATGTCCAGCTCCAGTGCTGTGCGTGTAATGTCTTTAGCAGTAGATGCCCTGTAGTCATTCATGTAATGGATTACAAGATGAGGTCTGAACTGATCCGTGGATCATCCATGCATTAAACCCGTAGTGTAGCTCAAAGGTGCTCAATCATTAAAGCAGAGCTCTTTGGCACTAATAGTTTAGGCATATTGGCCCTGTCATTCATTTTAGCTTAAACATGTTCTGGAACTAAAATCCTGTTTTCTCCATGAAGAAACTGATTTTTAATTATATAAATCATAGTAAATTTCCATGAGCTCTGAGATTGTACAATTTGAACAAATTAATTATTATTATAATTATTTAATTATATCTAATTGCTGAATTTCTGTACATAATCTGTATTAGATCCATGGAAATTAGCAACTGTTGGTCTCAAATTGTTGAGTATTTTTAACTTCATATCAAAGTTTATGGTAACACTTTAGAATAGGGAATACATATTCACTGTTAAGAGTTTTGCCTTAAAGGGGTCATATGATGCTGCTAAAAATAACATTATTTTGTGTATTTGGTGTAATGAAATGTGTTTATACGGTTTAAGGTTCAAAAAACACATTATTTTCCACATACTGTACATTATTGTTTCTCCTCTATGCCCGCCTTTCTGAAACGCGTCGATTTTTACAAAGCTCATCGGTCTGAAAAGTGAGGTGTTCTCTGATTGGCCAGCTAGTGCGTTGTGATTGGCCGAATTCCTCAAGCGTGTGACAGAAATATTATGCCCCTTACCATATCGTGATGCCTGCGGCAACCACATGTGACGACCCCAGGCTGGACTCCGCTTCGTCCACGGTGAAAGCCGATCCGGAGATCCACAGCGCGAAGTTGAAGTATTTCCTCAGCGACCAGCACGGATCAGCTCCAGGCATGACGAAGCGATATCGTCCTCTTTTAGAAAGCCAAACAAAGTAGTTTTGCTTTCACAACGAAGCACACATCGCCTTCACGACATGGCGGCGGAGGAAACAACAATACTACAGCGAGAATAAAAGTTACGCCTTCTTTCTTTGCGTGAACATTTGGGCGGCGTTATGCAAATCTTCCCGCATAGTGAGGTAGATATGTGGGGGCGTGTTAGAACGAGCCGTTTTAGGTAGGTGTGGCTGACTCTTAACTTTTATAAAGAATATCTCTTTGGATTTGAGACTTTAGTCTTTGCAACTTTACAGATCTTCTTTATGCACCAAGAGCTTGTAACACTCCAAAGAGAAAGGAAAAATTGAAATCGCATCATATGACCCCTTTAATAAACTCCTAATTTGCTGCTTATTAATATCTAGTAAGGTAGTTGTTAAGTTCAGGTATGGGGTCAGGTTAAAGGATCTAGAACTTAGTCATGCAGAATAAGGCATTAATACATGTCTAATGAGTACTAATAAACAGCTAGTTATATGCATGCTAATAAGCAACTAGTTAATAGTGAAAATCGGACCTTAAAATAAAGTTGATTCAACTCAGAGCTTTTTGGCCTTTACTGAATTTTACAAATCCCTATGAAGAAAATTAATATGACAAATGCTTCCTGAACCAAGGCCTCTGAAAAAATGGGCAGCCACTGTCTATTGACACAGGAAGAATTCTAAGGATTCTGAGGTACCACATACGTTACAGAGTCTTTTTCCCATCAGTCTTAGGGTCATGTGACCGTGTGCCAGGCCTTTTAACCAGCAGACACCTGGGTGATACTGTAACACTCCCGTTAGACAGGTTAGACTGATGTAAGGGACACTAAAGAACTCTAGCAGACGTCTTAGTTTTGACATAAATGTGTCAGATGATATTCGTCTCCAGTGCTTCACCTGATTCTGCTGGCCTGCTGAATATCCAGGGCCATGATCATAAAAGTAAGCTGCACTGAAAATCAAATGTAGGTTTAAGGTATGCAGTTATTGGTCTCTTTTTGAGATTGGAGAAATTTGAGATTTTTTGTCAACTGATATCAGTTCTAGCTTCTGCTTTTGACAAAAAAAAGTCATTACACTGCAACAGTAGAATTCAAAATAATAGATCACAAAAATTGCACAAATATAATGGTATAATAATATCATTGTTATTTACACCCTTATATTTGTGCAATTTTTGTGATCTATTATTATTGCATAAGAAAGATTTTTGTCAATTAAAAATAATGGCACTAATATAATGGTTAAAAATACTACGAAAGATGTTGATATTTATATTTATCGGATTGTCGGTCTATCTAGTTTGTGCGTACGAGAATGCTTGCATGTGTACGTGTGTTTGTGTTTGAGCCTCCTCTAATTCCTCGGTTCTCATAGATCTCTGAAGGAAGTTAGAGCTGTAAAAGTGTGTGTGTTTTCGTACCTTGACACCACTCTCGCCCACACCAACACTTCCTGCCCGCAGACTTCTTGCACCTTGTACTGGGTGTGTGTCCAAATATGCATGCATGTATGTATGTGAGAGAGTGTGCAATGATGCACATGTGGTCATTCCCACATGCACTGAAATCTCTAGCCACATACAAGCCCTGTGCCTTTGATTTAACATTTGATTTACCTTGACTGTGTGTGTGTATACAGAATTTAAATTTCTGTATGCATTTCTTTCCAAACCTGTATGACTTTCTTCTGTGGAACACAAAAGGTTATCATAGGGCTTCTGAAGACTTCACCGTCATGTGAATACTTTTATGGTGCTTCTTTTGTTCTTCTGGAGCTAGGCAGCACCCATCCTCATTCAATTTCATTATACTAAGAAAAGCAGTCAGGATGTTCTTCAGAAAGTATTATGTTGTGTCCCACTGAAGAAAGCATGTCATACAGGTTTGGAACTACATGAGAGTGAGTAAATGACAGAATTTCCAATGTTAGGTCTGTTTAGTGTAGTTTATTGGGATAAAGTGGTCAAACCCACTATGAGAGACCCCTGTTGCATCATGGTTAGGCTTGATAAATAAGGATTTGGAGAGGTCATCTCATTCATCCAGCCCATCTTCCTGCTCTCCCGCCACCCCTCCCTCACGCCCGACACCCGACACTCGCCCAGCTGCGCTCACTCACATCCCAGATTTGCCACACACTAAAGCTCTTCTTGCTCTCATTATTCAGAAAGTTTTTAAATTAGTTCCAGTCCCATGACTCCCAAAGATCGATTACGGGAATGAAACTGCCCTCCTCTTCCTTCTGGAATCTCTGCACAACTGTGTGCGCCTAGACGCAAACCGGCTGGGTGAAGTGCCCCGAAACACCTCACAAACATGTCTGCTGTCTGTCACATATACAGCCAAGATCTAGAAGCTTCTTCACTTTAACTTAAAGGGATAGTTGAGCCAAAAGTCTGTTATTATGTACTCGTTCCAAACCGGTGTCATTTTTTGTTCTTCTGTGGGACCTATGTTTCCATCACCCTGTTTTTATGGGCATTTTGAAGTATCACAGTGATGGAAACGGCAAATTTCAAATCAAAATCACTTAATTTGTTAAGTTTTTACGCTCGCTTGAGGTGGTTTTTACTTGTGCGAAAAAGGGTTAATGCAAATAATGGGAGATGGAAACTTTATGCCGAATAAATTCCTCGATGCGCATCAAAAAAGTTATGTAACTTTGTGCTGTGGGATGGCAAAACCTGACCCATCTCGTTCCACAGCATCTGAAATGTTCTGTCTGTCATCAAAGTAGTTCTGTATAATTGTCTTACATGACGGCGTTCCCAAACAGCAATGACCGCATTTATTGTTTCGTCTGCTCGCTCTGAGGCGCAAATAATCAAAATTATATTCAGTGGCTTCTCATACTTTTCTTAGTGATATATGCTAGTTTATCAGGAAGTGACTCGTTGGATGGAAACGGTGCTTATTCGCAAATGTTTTATGCGATTTTCCAATTTTGCGCACAAGTTAAATTCGCAACTTTGGATGGAAACCCAGCTAGTGTGTTTATCTCCATATAATAGAAGCCACTGGTCACCAAAACCGTTTGGTTACCAGCATTCTTCAAAATATCCACAGAAGAACAAAACATCAAACAGGTTTGAAGAACATGATGGTGAGTCAATGGTGACAGAATTTTAGTTTTTGGGTAAAATATCCCGTTAAGAGCAGCAAGGACTTGAACACACTGTTGCATACACCGTTAGGAACATTATGAAAATACAGAAGTGGTAAAAGGACAACTTTGTACCTAATCTACCCATAAAAGGTGCATAATAAAGTAGTAATATGTACTATTAAGGTGCTACTATTATCGTTTTAGGCATAAAAAAAATACAAAGTTGTCCTTTTAAGGGTACTGCACAAGTGACAAGCTGTTGTACCCACAAAAGTACAATTTTTTTTAATGAGAGCGTACATTTTCAGCCTTTAAAGGGGTCATATGATGCGATTTCAAGTTTTCCTTTCTCTTTGGAGTGTTACAAGCTGTTCGTGAATAGATAAGATCCCTGAAGTTGCAAAGACTAAAGTCTCAAAACCAAAGAGATATTCTTTATCAAAGTTAAGACTCTGCCACGCCCCCTAAAACGGCTCGTTCTAACACGCCCTCACATATCTAGGTCACTATGTGGGAATATTTGCATAATGCGCCCAAATGTGCATGCAAAGAAAGAAGGCGTGGTTTCAGGAACCGCAGATA